CTGTTTCACTACCCCAACGATCAGCTGCTCCACAAGTGTGATTTACCTTGCCTGGTGGTAATTGGTATGAATATCTGGAAATTTCTTTACCAAACACGTATTAGTTGATCATATGACTATAGAAGGCATGCTGAAATAGGTTAAGAAAAAGTGGAACTAGAAAAACTTACGGTTCACATAAACCATTTGTTTTGTTGAGTGTAGCACGAGGACAGTAAGCACCTAATGGGCAAGCTGCATAACATATAATAGGGATCCTTCAGATCAAATACCAAAACCTCATGGCTTAAAATGTTTATTTCATCAATTTCGAAGGTAAGCAGGAGTTCAATATGGAAAGTAAGTTACTCACAAAGCCTTCTGAAAGTGAGATAACTAAAATTCTATTTGGCAAGACATACATTCAATTCGGTATCATTCATATAATCATCATTGTTAATGTAGAGGTTGCTAGTTTCTAGATTGAGTGTTTCAGAACAAGACTAGACTCATCATGAAAACTCTAAACAGGCCTTCATTTCCCGTGCAAGAAGCAACATATATTCATAATAACTAAGCAAAATAGTGACTTTAATCATAGATGAATAAAATTGAGTGTTAAACAATATATGCAAACAGAGGAATTAAATCCTTTGCAACAGCTAGGCTGCCAAAGGGTTGTTTTTACTTATTACTTATACCCTTAAATATATTATGTACAAAATCATCAAAACTACACTGGTAATGTAAGAGAATCTTTACATAATCAAATCACTTATATGATAAACTGGTAAATCTCTATGATATTAATTAGTAAGCTGATCAAAATTGTAACTGACCTGCTATAACTGGTTAAACTACACAGATAATGCAAGAATCTTTATATTATCAGAGCAGTATAACTTCAATTTGAGGAATTAACAACTCAGACAATTGATAATCGAGAAGAGAGTCTATAGATATGCTTACGCATCATGCAAGTCAAGCCTTTAGGGCAGAAAAACCCCTCACAACAAGGTTGATAGTCACGAGTACGATCAGGCATATCTTTTGCATTCTTAAGGTCAACTTTCTCATTTTTATTAACACTGCAAGACCAGCCTGGTTCACATCCAGGCACCCATGATGTCAAGTTACAGTTCCTATTGGGTCTTAAGATATTAGCTTTTTGGGTTGATTTTGTCTCCAAAAAACTTGAGAAGTAGAATTTCATCTCTGCAGCGTTACATAGCCTCTGTGTCACGTCTGTTAAGATGATCAGCATATTGTTAGAGATAAAGGTGTTTCAAACTATATCAGAATTCGAACAAGCAAAATTTCGATGCAAAAATAGGAAACAAAATGACAAGAATTTCTACTTGATTTTTGTAGCTCATTTCTTTTAGAGTTTAAGTAATATACATTGACAGTGTAAAGCATGTCAGACTACCCAAACTTGAATTAATTTGAGAAGATAAAGTGGTGACCAGAGTTTCGCCAGCAAGTTCATTAGGATCAACGCATGCAAAAAGCATCTTGCGATTAAAAGCATAAGCAAATTACATACAACAACAGCATGCCCCATGTAGTCCCACACAATGGAGTTTGCGGAAGGTAGAGTGTTCACAAACCTTACCCCTACCTCAAAGGTAGAGAGACTGTTTTCAATAGACCCTAGTGTATGCAACCACATTATTGATAATAACAACAACAACAACAACAAAAAATCAATACCTTTGGTTTCTTTAAAGCAATTATTTAAGAATTCCAAGTTTTTGGCAAAATTAAATGCCTCAAACAACTCAGCATCCCTAAAACATGAAAAGATTAAGTTTTTAATTAGAATTTAGATAATTACGAGATGTTAAACTATAATGCAATTAAAACTTACACATCATCAATGCAAAATCCCAAAACCTGGGTGATATCCTTATGGAATACTTTTGTAAGATTCGCAAGTTGGCCATAAATGAAAGATGCAAGAACAGGCACAGCAGTAGGATTAGCATTAGCATTAGCAGGAGTTTGTTTACTAGCAGGTGCACACCAAACACATGGAGAAAAACCCAAAACAAGAATCATAAACAAATAATAACAGGGTAACCATATCCTAATTTTACCCATTTCATCTAATATTCCAAATTAATTAATTCCTAAAGAAGATTTCCCAGAAAAATGCCACTACTAAATAAAACATAAAACTCAATAAACTAGAAAATAGAAACAACCCCAAAAAGCAAAAAGAGGAAACTTTTCAAGGGATGAAGAGTATTTTACAAGGAAATAGAAAACTGAAACAACCCAAAGAACCAAAAAGATGATTTTTTTTTTCTTCAAGAAAATGGAAATAGAAACAACCCAAGAACCAAAAAGATGAAATTTTTAAGAGAATAGGAAATATAAACAAAAAACCAAAAAAACAAAAAGATGAAATTTTTCAAGGGATAAAGGACATTTTTCATGAAAATAGAAACAACCCAAGAACCAAAAAGATGAAATTTTTACAAGGGATGAAGGACTTTTTTTTATTTTTTTGGGGTTCAAATGGCCATGGAGACAAGAAGAAGCTCCAGAACCAAAAAAAACAAGAAAGGGTTTTTTTGGTCAAAATTTTTGGGTGAAGAATCATGAGGGAGATGTGTAGATTCTGGGAGGAGCTCCACTGTTTTTGGAAGAGAAATGGCATTGAGAGATTAATGGCTAAATTGGAGGTTAAGAATTAATGTTTGTATGAAATAATAATAATAATAATAGTTGCATGCAAATGTTTTTGTTTACGCACCATTGATTTGATTCATAAGGACTATATATTAAAAATTTTAAATCCATCGAAAAAAATTGACCAACTTTGAAATTGATTGACTTGATCGGTTTAATCCTAATTATTTTTTGTTTTTTCTATAAAGCAAAATCGTCATAGTTGATTTTTGAGGCAAGAAATAAATAAATCACGAGGTTTAGTTGATTTTTTTTTTTAAAAAAAGTTGATTATAGTTTTGACTAAAAAAAATCCAGTTCAATTAGTCTTTTATTGTACTAATTTTTACACAACAAATTAATCAAACTCGGTCAATTTTATTAAAAGAAAAATTGGGATAAAAAATTGATCCATTTTCTGATAAGTTTTTGCCATATTATAGTGGTGTTTATTGATAATCACGATTAGTTTCTTAATATAAGAATTCATAAGGTCATTAAAATATGATTAAAAAGTCTTGAAAATTGGTAAGATCACTAGAATGTGATGTAAAAATCTTGACCTAAAATGTTGAGCGATGAATACTACAATTGAGTAATAAACCCTGAGGGGTAGCTCAGCTGGTAAAGGCCTGGGACAAAGTCCTTCAGGTCGTCGGTTCGAGCCCCAGCAGGGCCACTGGAGGCATTACAAACCGGCCGCGTCTCCAGGGCCCCGTGGAACTAACCGTGGTGGACCCGCCTTGAAACAGCGGGACCCGGTGGGTACAGCTAGTCGGGTTCGCAAAGCGACGCCCGGAAACCACGGTAAAAAAAAATAAAAAATAAAAAAATTGAGTAATATACCAAAGGATGTGGATTTGATAAGGTTTTTATATTCTTTGTTACTAATTGATTATTTTAATCTTCCATTGCTTCGAACAAATTATGTGATGATGAATTTCGAAGATTACACCTATTATGAAGACGAAGGCTACTATGATGAAGATATAGGAGCCAATAATGACCTATTATGAAGATGAAAGCTACTATGATGAAGATATGGGAGCAAATAAAGACTAATATTGGTTATGGGGTGGCGGAGCCACATGTAGTTGAGGGGTGTCGACCAATACTCCTTCGTCGTCGAAAAATTACACTATATAGCTAAAAATATTTTTTATGTATATATATTACATATTGACACTCCTTGACTTATAAGCAATTTTACTTCTTTATATTTTGATACCTCTTAGTCGAAGTTCTGGTTCCACCACTGTGGAAAGAATATGTGCGTATGAAGATCTACATGCTTCTTATCATAATCACAAAAACAAAGATATTATAGTTACGAGAATAAAGATATCATGATTATGAAATAAAGAGGCTTCAACGTATGATAACTCTTTCTCTCTCTCTATATATTCCACCTTAATTTCTCATTTAATTGATACGAGACTCTAGTTTCATACCTTACAATATAATTATAACGAAATTTATAAGTTAAAGGAGAACCACACCTCAAAATATAACTATTGAGGTGAAAATACATAAGATATCCATTACCCAATAGGAGACTCATCCCATACCTTACAATAGAATCGTAACAATTTTTTCTTGAGAATAAAGATGCTTCAAGATATATGCTTCTACACTCTTTCCTTGTTACGCTTCTAATAATGAAGACACTGATAATGAGAAATTGATTGTAAGTAAGTTCAAATCTATTTAAATTTACATCAATTTTTCATTCAACTAAAATACGAAATTCGAATTTTATACTTTATAATGAAATCATAAAATAATGAATATAACCCAAAAAAACAACACCTAGATATATTATCTCCACAAGCCTTCTCCATTTGACCAACGTGATATCATACCTTACAGTAAAATCATAACAATTTTCTCACTTGTGATGAAGAAAGTGGAAGTAAATAAACAAACTTATGATCTGACAAGAAGAATCTATGAGGAGATTTTATCTATTAAAATAATTTCATATTTTATCCCAATAATTTTTATTAAGGCTGGGCATCGGATCGGAATGAACCTGTATCGGATCAAAATGGGATGATTTAACTGGTACGAAATGAATCGAAGCGAAATTACTGGAATGGATACTAGGTTCCGTCCCGTCCCACTATAGAAATCACTCATTCAAGAAAAAAACAAATGGTTTCAACTTTATTTTTTCCCCCAACTATACGCATTTATATTTCTCAACGACCAATTCTTTGTCCAAAAAAAGACAAAATGTGATCTTCCAGCCTATACATATTCCTTTGTCCCTTTGAGAGGGACCCTTTAAGTTTCACATTATGACTGTTTAATTCCATCTCATTATGTGGCATGAAACTATTTGTGTCAAATCTTCTTGAAAAAAGAAAAATACAGTGTGAATGTAGTACAGTGTTGGAGAAACTTTACTTTGTTTTGGTGGGGTATTAGTATTTGTTTGTTTGAATAGCAGACTTCAAATGCTGCTGCTTGCCGTGTGAAGACTTTTCTCGAGTCATCTAAAGTCTTTGCCATCTTTGCCAAGATAGAGCCTTTTGTTGGAGCTGAAATTTTATCAAATTCCAAGTAGTACTGCAATTTGTGAGCAGATTTGTGATAAAAATTATGGTGTGGGTTCAGATTTAGTAGCTTAAAGGTGAGTCTTTTTTAGATTTTGAGTTATTTTTTTGTGTTTATTGGGAGTTAAAAGTGAAAAGTTGAATGTGGGGTTTTATGGGTCATTGAGTTTTTGAAGGTTTCACACCTTTGTATTTACAGGAACTGTGAAATTTGGGCTTTTCAAGAACTGGAAAAGATTGAATCTTGCACTTTGTAGATGGTGGGTTTTCTACATTTCTGGTAATTTTACCCTTTTGGGTTGTTTCTGTTTTACTTTATTTATATGGTAACAAATACATATGGAAATTTAATGTTGTGTAGAATCTTAGTAGCTGCCTGAACTTTCATGTTTATTGATGAGGATTCAATTTCCCCACCTTGTAATTGTCCCCTGTCTTTAAAAAAGAAAAGATTGTATACTAGCTCTTGTGTTGATAATTAAGTATTGTTTTCAAGCTATTGGGTCAACTTTTGTTGTCCAAATGAAATATAATGGGTATTGAGAATTCATATAACCAAGCCAATTAGTTTAATATATTTCCATTTATGAACAGATTGAGATAAAGTTTATGCTGTGGGTTCAGATTTAGCAGCCTAAAGGTGAGTCTTTTTTAGGTTTTGAGTACCTTTTTCTTTTTGTGTCTATTGGCAGTCAAAGTAAAATTTTGAATGAGGGGGTTTTATGGTCATTGAGTTTTCTGAGTTTTATCTTCTCTGTATCCACAGGAATTGTAAAATTGGGCTTTTGGCTATCCAAGGACTGAAAAAGATTGAATCTCGTGTCCCGTAGATGGTGGGTTTTCTACATTTCTGGTAATTTTACCTTTTTGGGGTTGTTTCTGTTTTGTTTGGTTTTGATGGCAACAAATACATATGGAAATTTAAGGTTGTATTTAGCTTTTGTCTTGATGATTAAGTATTGTTTTCAAGCAGGTGGGTCAACTTTCGTTGTCCATATGTAACATAATGGATCTTGAGAATTCCTATAACCAAGATAATTAGTTTGGGATTGAGTGATGTTTTTGTTTCAAGGGGTTTCTAGCAGTTAGTAGGTAGCCGGGTGTTGTTGCGCTTTATGTGGGGGAGGTAGGGGGATAGCCCGCTCGTTTCTTCTTTTCACTATTGGTAGTATTATTTAGTAATTGCGTAGTTTCATATTTTTCTATGTGTGGTACTATTTGTTGCTTCATTTGTTTTGTATTTTGCTATTCGGTTTGCTATATTTTTCTTGCACTCCTGCTTCGATAACATTCTTTTTAGTCAAGGGTCTACCGGAAACAACCTCTCTACCCCACAAAGGCAGGGGTAAGGTCTGCATGCGTCCTACCCTCACCAGACCCCACTTGTGGGATTACATTGAGTATGTTGTTGTTGTATTTCTTTTGAGAGCCATGGAGCAATTGCCATTAGGTTTGGTAGGAAAGATTTGATTTATTACTAATGGCTTCTCGTTTTGCATTTCCATGGATTGGTTGATTAGTCTTCTGCCTATTTATCATTTTCATTTTTGTATATTTCTTCCCCATGTTCTTATTTTGCTTTAACAAGGCATGTGGACTTTCCTGCTCCTTAAAGTCCTGGATAAATTCTGCAGGCATCAGTGTAATTAGATATTCAAATACGATATACTTCAATACATTCCAAGTATTTCCAATTTACCATTATGTGAAATTACTTGAATATTAATTGACCAGTCTGGATTTGAACCTGCAGGGAGGGTGTTTTAGCATACTGAAAGACATGAAGTGTTTTCAGTTCTACAATAGTGAGAAGAAGGAAGAACCTAAGACCGCGAAGTCAAATCCAGTTCTGTCCTCCTCTTTTGGTCTTTTTGATAGTGAATTTCGGCATTCTCATCGTGAGTCCAGCTCGCAGAATGTATCAGATACCAGCACAGAGTCTAGAGGAAGGAGCCAAATTCCATGCCTGTCAGATAGACCTTCCGATCTCAGGGCATTTACATTCTCAGAACTGAAAGCAGCAACGAAGAATTTCAATCGTACTACCAAGATTGGGGAAGGTGGATTTGGATGTGTATATAAGGCCACAGTAAAGACTGGTGAGGATTCAGCGAAAAAGATTGACGTGGCTGTAAAACAACTTGGTAGGAGAGGATTACAGGTAACTAAATTCTTTTTAAGCTCGAATAATTATGTATTAGAAATATTAGGATCCTGCACTTTGACATCACTATTTATTAGGTGTTGGCACTTTGCAGTAGATACACACTTCATCATCTCTTATCTTTTTTAGCTACCTGGAACTAAATCTAAATGTTACTTTAACTACTGTCGTTTCTCTAACCATTTAAGTTTCGCTTGCGGAGCTGTATTAGAAAACTTTGGGAATCTTTTAGGAGTACAGAAAACCAGGAAGAGTAAAGCAAACTGTTCCACAGTATGAACTATGAAGTCGCTAGGGAAATATTTTAACTTTAACGTATGGCATTTACCTTATCAAAAAATATTTCAACTTAAACATTTTGTACATTGATAGACCCACACAACAACATATATACTAACTAATTTGAATTGGCTTGGCATTATTCAAAATGTGTGATCTGACTGTGCACATGGAAGTCCATGGATTTGAATGATCTCTTATGTTAAAATACTTCCTTTTGTTACCTTTCCTCCATTCTTTGTGGTGTAGTGATGTACTCATGGCTTGCCCCCATCTAAACGATTAAAAGGATGACCATAGATTGAAAAATCTTGTAGATGGCAAAGTCTACTCCTTTGATTCTTTGAACTAAGAAAAGTGATGAACCCCAGAACTTATTTCCATTTTAGAAAGAAGTGCTGAACCCCGGAAGTATAGTTGGTATAGTTCTTCCAACATGTGATGGCTCCATTCAATATGGTTCTTTGAGAAGCACTAGCCGCTTACTCTGGCCTAGTGAGAAAATCTTCTGATAGTTGAGGACCACTAGATAAATAGTTGTTTAACTTGCCTCATTGAAACATTCTTCTCAGCGTAGACAGGTGTTCGGTGCTGGTATTTGTTTTGGATTGTATAGTAGTCCGAAGAGAACATTTTCCACAGTGGGGGTTTGTCCAATATGACCTTTCACATACCTAAAAATGAGAATTAGAGTACGGAAATGATTTATTTTTCCCAACTTCATAGATGGATAAGCATGACGAAAGTTCAATCATAATTATCTCTGATAGCTTTTTGATTTGAGATGCCTAATGTCTAGCACTTTCTTATGCTTGCGTTCATCTTATATGCGGCTGAAGCGTCATGATGCTGAACTTCTATTTCTCTTATTCCAGTATCAACATGTTTTTCTTCACTGGAGTTTTGTTGAAACCCCATACTTATTTGTTACATAACCTCAGAAGAGTGAATGGTACAGAGAATTCATAAATCTGAACCGACTAGTTTGGGATTGAGTTGTAGTGAGTTGATATTATTGGTTGATGATTGACCCTGTTTTAATATCTTCAGGTATGATAATACTTCCTTTATTCCATGTTGTTGACCTAGTTACTATTTGGTGAGTCAATAAAATTCTTTCATGATTGCTATTTTATTACTCCTTCCGTTTCAATTTGTTTGTCTGGTTTTGACTTGACACCGAGTTGAAGAAAGTAAGGAAGACTTTTGAATCTTGTAGTCTTAAACGAAAGTTGCGTAAAATGTACCAAAATGTCCTTTATTCTTGTGGTCTTAAACATGTCATATGGAAAGTTATAAATTAAAGAGTTACCAAAAAATGAAAGAGACTTTTGAAACAGAGTAAATAGGGAACTAGGGAAGTAAGACAAACAAATTGAAACGGAGGGAGTAATTTTTTTTTTCTTTTTAGCTTAAATATTGGATGATGTAGATGCTTTTCATCTTGTTTCTAAGTATATCATTTTTATTGAGGAAGAAGCTATTCAGCATCCAAAACTACACCAGAAATGTAATATTGTCAACTCTGATAAACTTAATAGGTCATACAATTGTGGAAAGAGGTCGTAAACATTGAATCTTCTGCTCTGTATAAAATTGTACATTGTCAGCTCATGAATAAGGAACTTGGAAAGCTGCTTTCACTTCAGCTTTTGACGTTCTACGATGTCCTTACTTTGGTCAGTAGGACCAACCGCTGATGGTAACGGTGAAGCTTCGGCATAATAATTGGTACTCGGACTGCTACTCATATAGCAACTTTTGACGTTCTACTATGTCTTTACTTTAGTCACTAGGAGAACACCCTGATGGTTATAGTGAACCTTCTGCAGAATTACTAACTTATTTCACATGTTTTATTGCGAGTTTGCGACTTAGCCACCAGTTTTCAGGTTTTTAGTTACTGTTTAGTTAATTGTTTTAGGCATAAATTTGGTGAACACGATTAATAACCAGTCTGTTTACAATAGTTCGGTGGAATGAACCATGATAATAAATAAAACATGATAATCATGTTCTTGTTCAATTTGTAGTAACATACTCTTCTTGATTCTATTCAATAGGGCCACAAAGAGTGGGTGACAGAAGTCAATGTTCTCGGGGTGGCTGAACATAAAAACCTCGTCAAATTAGTTGGCTACTGTGCAGAAGATGACGAGAGAGGAATCCAGCGGCTTTTGGTGTATGAATACATGCCTAACAGAAGTGTCGAAAACCATTTGTCAGCTAGGTCAGAAACCCCTCTCTCCTGGGCAATGAGGTTAAAGATAGCCCAAGATGCTGCTCGTGGCTTAGCATACCTACATGAAGAAATGGATGTTCAGGTACTTTTTCCACTTAGCTATTTGCACCTATATAAAGGTGTAAAATGTGTAACTAGCAAGGACTTCATCGCCTTAATGCCTTTTGTTATGTTAGCTCAAGCTATTAGTGTTTTGAGTCAGCTATCGTCCAGAATCCTGATGTCTCTCTTCTTTTATACTGTAGATTATCTTCAGAGATTTCAAATCTTCAAACATTCTCTTGGACGAGCAATGGAATGCAAAGTTGTCAGATTTTGGATTGGCTAGGTTGGGACCTCCTGAGGGTCTAACCCATGTCTCAACTGCGGTATGCTCCCGTAACTTGATTGCATGCATCTCAATACATGTGTCCTGAAGATCTTGTCCTTTGGTCTTTTTCACTTTTTCTTGTTCATTAGTTTTAATGTTGGATACTTGGATATTAAAAGATGTTGATATAGTCATATGCTTAACTCCTTTCACGGAATTGATCAACTATGATTTATCTATCTTCTTCGCTGGATTTCCTTGCGAAAAATAGTTTGCTGTCTATTAATTCTATGTATCATCCATATCATGTTTTAGCAAAAATGTTCCATTCGTTACTTTCATGGAAAGCCAAGAAGCTTGTTACCAAAATTGCCATTGACTTTTGCATGACTTCGTTTTGGTCCACCGTCAGTTTAGCAGTTTTAGGTCAATATGTACTTTTCCTTGGCTCATAAACATGAGATAACAGTGAAGGAGAAGCAAATTGAACACCAAAACCGCCTTCTCGTCCCTAGCATGCTTTCCAAAAACCTGGCTCAGCAACCTAGTATGATTTCGTTTGTTAGCCGTTTGAATTCGATGAATTATTGGAAACTAGTAGTATCAGACAACACGTCTTAATTCACTGTTACATAAGCTTAAAATTCTTATGATTTCAATAGAATGTCAAAGCATGGTTCCAACACTCCTTTATATTTGCCAACATTGTTCTTATATTGTTTCTTACTATGATGCCCATTTTCATGGTTGTAGTCTGGTTGCATATTACATCTCTATTGTATCAGGTTGTTGGAACCATGGGATATGCTGCTCCTGAATATATTCAAACTGGTCGTCTCACTTCCAAGAGTGATGTGTGGAGCTATGGTGTCTTTCTCTATGAGCTGATTACTGGTCGACGTCCATTAGATCGAAATCGGCCTAGGAGTGAGCAGAAGCTCTTAGAGTGGGTAAAGCCATACATATCAGATTCTAAGAAGTTTCAACAAATATTAGACCCAAGGCTTGATGGTAAGATCTCAAGGTCAGCCCAGAAGCTCTCTATAGTCGCCAACCGCTGCTTGGTCAGACATGCAAAGACACGTCCAAAAATGAGTGAAGTCCTGGAAATGGTGAACAAAGTTGTCGAGACATCAACAGGAATAGGAAATCCTGGACCACCTGTGAGAATTGCGGAACCAACTTCACCAGAATCTGCAAGGAAAGGTAAGAGGAAGATAACTGATATCAAACTCGGAGATGGTAGCAGGTTAGTACACATGTGGTCAACAAAGCTGACAAACACTTGTTAATATAATAGTTTCCAATATGCACAAACAAAAGAGGAGTTGAAAGAAAAAGTTTTAACAAAACATTATTTCCGTTGGAGAGAAAGGTAATGTAGAACTGGAAACTATATTTACTAGCTCCCAATATGAATGAGGTCTCTGTCATTATTGTCTTATATCACCTCTAGAATTGACAGCAAGTGGTGACTATGGACACTGTATGTGACTTGCTGCAGAATCTTCTGGTGATCTATAACGATGAATGAAGGGGTTTGTCGTTAGATATAAGGAATCTGAAGCTCTCATGTAATACTGATCTTGATATTTCCAGTTTTGATTAAAAATGTATAGTTTCCGTTTTTCATGATATGCAAGAAAATGAACAAGATGAGAAGGTTTGTTTTGTTATACATAAAAGTTCGTTTTGTTATGCATGAAAATTCGTCATGGTTTGTTTAGGAATGTAATTTGAAACAAACATTCAAGTGAAATATTGAATCTTGTAACACAATCATTTTAATATCGAAAATGGAAACTAGTTTTTTTTTTTTTTGTGGTATTAGATGATCAGTTTTCTACAAGAGATGCCTTGTAATGACAATGTTGCTAGCTATAATGAAATGTAATGACAATGTTGCTAGCTATAATGAAAGAGAAGGGTGCATACAATTATATTAGTTTGCTAATATTTTGATTTATTGTTTGTTTGATCTTATTGATGTTTGGTTGAAAAGAGGAGACTTGTCTACTTTCCTTGGGTTGAACAATACCAACTACTATTATGCTTCGGTCGTAAAGAAATTGAGGTCAGTTATATGAATTCTTATTGACCATGTCTAAAAGGGCATTCCGATGCATACATCATCGCGCATTCACACATGATCATAGGAAGGATTGCACTTCACTCGAAACAATTTCAAACATATATTGTCCAAAATTTGACATGGTTAAAGTCATACATATATAGTTGAAATTTAGTTATTTTGTCTAACAAAAATAGGCAAAGGCAAAAATACCTTAACTTTGGCCATTGTATGAGCCTAACTTCATATACCGCATATTTGAAGTTGTTTCGAAATAAATACCTAAGTTCTGTTCGGTCACCAAAGATCTTAATTTCATACACCACATATCCAAGTATTCAATATGAACAAGTGATGCCTTGTTCATAGTATAACAATGTAAGAAAGAACAGAGAGATGCATGGAAACAAATACGGATTCATGATTTGAACATAAACAATTTCAAATATAAAATAATTTGATTGTTCACCCTAATGCTGGTTATTAATTGTTTCCTTTTCTTACATGTCTTAAATATTTAATAAACACGATAGTGCGAATAGGATCAAATCTTATATCTTATCTTATATATAAATAAAAGAGAATCCTCAGTCCAGTGATGTGGAGGTGTTAGAGACATGGACGTGTACAATCTTGAAGATGTAAAGATCAATTTTTTTAAAATCCTGGAGAGTCATTTGGTCCTATTTGCCCCCCCAACTTGGGTCATACCATCACTCTGAAGTGAAAGATTGTCTCTTTGTTTGTTATCTCTTTTCATTGTTTCAAAATTTTAAGTTTAAAGTTAAATTGGATCTTATGTGTTCATATGTATGAATATGATGGTATTTAATCAAATTCTAATTGTGTGGTTTGTTGCATCCTCTCTCTCTCGTAATACTACTGATCTTGATATTTTCAGTTTTGTAAATATACTATATTAATTTAAGTAGTAAGAATAGTACAAAATAGAGATGGACTATGCTTATATGACAGACTTAAAAAACTCCTTTTTAATTATAGATTTTGAAGTTGCGATTTAAAATTTTTGAATTTTTAAATTAGAACTTGAAATTGCATTTGGACATGTATTTTATTTAGAAAAGAAATTGAAGTTTTATAAGTTGAAGTCTCAAAAATTTGGTGAATGCTAGTAACTCAATTGGTTGGTTATATGAACTTTTTACTTTGTTAGTAAGTGATCGATTCCCCACCTTATAATCTCCTCCCCTATTTTTCCTATCCTAGTGTTTTTTTAGAAAAAAAGTTCCAAAATTGGTCTTGAATTTTTTTGAAAACAATTTTTCACAATTTGATCCAAAATCTATGGTCAAATAGATATTCGAGATAAGTTCTCAAAATTTATGGTCAAACTCTAGTTAAGTTCCGATTCACACAAGAAGTATTTGAACTAATTTAATCACATACTAAAGACAAGAGTGACTCAAGGGCGAGGTCAGTAAAGTGTCCGGTCACTCCATCCGTCACCAAAGTTGTATATGACTCCTTTAATCTCTTTTTTCGATTTTTCGAATTACTAAAAGTATAAGAGATAATTTTTTTTGTGGTGTTAGATGATCAGTTTTCTATAAGAGATAATGTTGCTAGCTATAATGAAAGAGAAGGGTGCATACAATTATATTATTTTGCTATTGTTTTGATTTACAGTGAACTTTGTTTGTTTGATCTTATTGATGCTTAGTTGAAAAAGGGAGACTTAGTTTACTTTCCTTGGGTTGAACAATAACAACTACTACTACAATGTTTCGATCGTAAATAAATTGGGGTCAATTTTATGAATTCTTATTGACCATATTTAAAAGGGCATTCCGATACATAAAACATCTTGCATTCACATAGGGTCAAAGGAAGGATTGCACCTCACTTTGAACAATTCGAACATACAGTGTCCAAAGTTTCACATAATTGAAGTCATACATATATGATTGAAGTTCAATTATTTTGCCGAACAAAAATAGCCGAAGGGAACTTTGGCCATAGTATGAGTCTAAATTCATATACTGCATATTTGAAATTGTTTCAAAATGAATACCTAAGTTCTATTCAGTCACCAACAAATCTAAATTTCATACACCACATATCCAAATATTCAATATGAACAAGGTGATGCCTTGTTAATAGTATAACAATGGTAGAAAGAACGTAGAAATTCACGGAGACAAAGACGGATTCATGATTTGAACATAAACTATTTTAAATATATAAAAGAATTTGTTGTTGCACCTTAACGCTGGTTATTTATTGTCTTCTTTTCTTATATGTCTCAAACATTTAATACAGATCATAGAAAAAGTACTTAACTTTATTTTATAACTCAAAAATCACTCAACTATGAATAGTTATCTTAGAAAATCACTTAACCAATCTAAATATTTTTTCCATTAAGTTTTATTGACATGAGATTTTTATTTATCAACTCGTCCAAAAAATATCTACACCCAATTTTTTCAGTTTACATCTTATTCTGTTCCACCAAAAAATCAATAGAAGGTGTGATGACTTGTTCATAGTATAATGGTAAGATTTTTTTTTTTAAAATTACTGAATTTTAAATTAATAATTAAAATAATCGAAAAACTAGCTCCGCGCCGAACGTGGTGGCCGACATAGACTTTAACAAAGAAAATCGTATTCTTTTTTCCTAGTATAAATAAGTGCCTTCATATCAAAGAAAAAGTTTATGTTAACCAAATTTGTCCTATTATATAAATAGATTCATAATTTAAAATTTATGAATTATATAATTACTAATGTGTATATATAATCTAAGCAAATGTAATTAGTATTAGGTATACGAGAGCAAATATGAAACATGGGTGCACCCTTACTAAATGGTGGCAAAAAGTTATTCTTACTCAATATTTATCAAGTTAATAATTATGTAGAGGCTATAAAAAAATATATAATCTAATATAAATATTAAATGCAGATAAATACTTATCATTACTTTAGTCTATGAAATTGGCTTGACAAATCTTACAAATATGGTATATATCATAGTAAAAAAGTTTTTTTTTTCTTTTTTCAAAATTCTTCCTAGGATCTTCGAATATTAATTGGAATTTGATGTATATTAATTGATTAATAATTCAAATTTGATGATCATTTAAACTTATTTTGTAAATTTTCGAAGCAAGATTCTTAACCCTCCTAATTACGCATTTTTCAACACTCTTTTACTATCTTGAATTAGACATCTAAAGCATGGATAATTCTTTTATAAAAAAGATCATTTTTAATACTAATAATACATGAAGAGTTGTGGCCTTTTCGCTATATTGAAAGTGGTGAAACTAGTAGTTATGACCTTTGTGTTTTTTTTTTTCAAATAATGTAATAAATTATAAGCTTTTAATTTCAATGATGAAATGAAAGAACTAATTTTATGTAACTTCATTAGAGTCACGTACAATAAAGCTGACAACATGTATTTAGCTAGAACAATCAATATATATCGTGATGACAACATTACTAAATAATTAAGCCAGCAAAAACCATGCATATATACCACCAAATTAAAAACAAAAATTAATATTTTATTCATGTCACTTAACTTGTTATTTTACGTGTAATTCTATTTTAAATATATTTTTATTAAATCGAGAATCTATCGTAAATAACTTAACACTTTACTTTACAAAAATAGGATAAAGTTTATTTGTTTGAGTACATCTCACCCTTCACTTCACGAATTTACCATTCAAATAGCAGAAGCTATTTTTTTTTTGATATTTATGTGTTATTTTTATGTTATCCAACATTATTCTGCACTCAACGTCACAAAGAGGAGTAAGAGATTATTAATTTACTACTATATATATATATAATAATAATAATAATAATAATAATAATAATAATGGACAAATATAGTAATGTGAACAACTCCTTTTATGTATAAGCAAACACCACAAAAGTACTTGGCAATCCGCAAGAGAAATCACTAGTTCGCAACACTTAACAATAACACTCTAATACAAACTCTAATAATACCGATAATTCAATGTTCTCCTATGAACTCTACTATGAAAACATTTCAAAAGACACTTATTCTCCGCTTGCTAGCCTAGCCACGAGAATGAGGACGAGACTGAGGATGAAACAAGTAGTAAAAAACATTTCAAATGACACTTATTTCCCTCTTGCTTGCCTAGTTACGAGACTGAGGATGAGACAGGTAGTAAAAAACATTTCAAATGACACTTATTTCCCTCTTGCTAGCCTAGTTACGAGACTGAGGATGAAACAGGTTG